TGTTGCCTGCCTGCCGCGCACTCTGCCTAGTCGGCCCTGCATGGGCCCTCGATGGTGCCGAGGTGCGTCGAGCAGGGGGTTGACGCACGAGGGGAGTCGGGGTGTTGGTGAAGAGGCCAAGCTGCTCGGCGTTGTCGATTTTGCTGGGGAGCTGCAGCTGCTGAACCTGCTGTGTCACTGCGTCGAGCTGAACTTCAGTGGAGACCATCGTGGGCGTGGTGCGGCAGGCCACGATCGAGGGCCCTGGGGCGAACTCGAGCGGGGCAGCAAGCATTGAAGCGATTGCCTGGTCGATCTCCAGAAGGCTGGAGTCTGCGCGGACGGGCTGGAGAGGCGCGCGGTCTGCCGAGTCGAAGAAGTCGGCGACAGGGTCCGAGGCCGTTGCCGGCCCCTTGGCCGTGCGCTCGGCTTGGTCCGACAGCAGCAGCAGAGGCGGGGTGGCCCTGAGGCTGCTGCCATCGTGGCGGGTGCCCTTGCCGTGACGCCTGTTGATTGGAGTCCTGCTTCGCTGGCGTGTGGCGCCACCATTGCTCCTCCGGGGCGGCTGCTCGCGCCCGCCGTGGCCGCGACCCAGGAGCGTGTCCTTCCAGGAACGCCGGTCACCAAGTGGCCCGTTGTTGTCGTCGTGGTCCCGGCGAGGCCCGAACTGGAGCCCGCCACAACCAGAGGGGCCGACCACCGGGGGGCTGGCGCCTGCCCTGTCCCTGGCCCTCCTCAATGTGCATCGACCACGTCCCCGGGTAGACGCGCGGGAATGGGCGATCATCGTCGGACCCAGAGGACGGGATGCCGCTCTGGCCCGAGTGCGAGGAGCGATGCGACAGGGGCGTCCAGTCTTCAACGCGGTCGACGTGGATGAGCATGACGTTGCGCCGGAAGCGTGGTGGAGGGGGGACCTCACGGCTAGGCGGCGAGAAGCCCAGCATGGCCTCGACGCGGCCGGCACCACGCGCCGCGCGCCAGATGGTGTGCTTGGTGGGGATGAACGCGACGTCGTACACCCACACCCAGCACGCGAAGGTCCGCGTGTGGCCGCGCTCGTGCGTGCGGCTGTCGAGCCGGTCGATGATGCATTTGTCGCCGAGCACCTCCGCCGCACCGTCAACGGACCACAGGTGCATGGGCATCTTCTCGATGACGACGCGGACGTGGAGGAGGAAGTCTTCATGGTCGGCGTGGACGTCCTCGTGCCACAGCTTGATGGTGAAGGAGATGCCATCGACGTTGATGGAGCCCAGGCGGACGGTGTTGTCCCGGTGCGCCGGCAGCTCGAAGTGGACGAGGAAGTCCTCTGGGTCGTGGCTGGTCACTCGCAGCAGGTGCGCCGGGGTGCGGAGAACAGCGTCGAAGGCGCGGCCGATGGACATGGGGCTCGCCGCGTGCCGCTCGGCCGTGGAGATGAGGAGGACGGCGTGGCGGCGGAGGAGGAACATCTGATGCTCCATCTCCGGCAACTCGATCACCACCTTGTGGTTGTCCCTTGGCCGGTGCGAGGGGTCGGTGTGGCGGCAGCGGTCCATGGCCGATGCGGGCGGAGGAGGCGAGGGGAAGTGGAGCCTCTCGCGGACCGGAGCACGGCTAGTAGTGGGCGCCAGACCACCACCACGGCCACGCCGGATTTGCGGGCAGTCCTTGGCGATGTGGCCCGACAACTTGCACTCGATGCAGTGTATGGGGTCTCTACAATCGACGCGGCAGTGCTTGGAGCTGAGGCACCGGAAGCAGAGCCCCCTGAAACGCCTTAAGAAGGCCGCGCGGGCAGCATCCACATTGAAGGAGAGGCGCTGGCCTCGGGGACGCCGCGAGCGCGCGGGGGAGGCATGGGCGCGCGCGGCGGCGCGGCACACGTTGTGGGACAGGACCGGCGTCCGTCCATCAGCTTGGCCGGTGGAGGAATGGTCGGTGCGGGGGGAGGGGTAGACCACGATGGATTTTAGGCGGAGCGGCTCCATTGGCCGATCCCTGCTAATATCCGGCGTGGATAGTGCGGCAGCGGCCCCAGAGCACTCCCCCCGGAGCAGAAGGCGCGACGGAGAACCAGGGTTGACAGTAGGAGGGCTGGGGGCGGCGGAGGGACCGGATCCACGGACGGACCGCCGGACGGGCGCAGATCTGGGATGGAGGCGGGTTGGCCCCATCCCTCGCTGCCGCGTGAGCTGGAGCGTGCAGAGCCGCGGG